GGAAAAACTCAGATTCAGACCGAGGCAGGCTGGCTCTGAACCATGGCTCTGATAAGAGGAAATAGGAAGTAGGAGCCGAAGCCTGGCTTCCCTCTCTGGCAGTGGGAGAGATGAGGCCGGGGCAGGGCCCTGGCGGTCCGGAGGCGCCCTTCACCTTGGAGATGTACTGCTGGCAGATCATGTGCTCTCCTGGCTTGATCTCCCGGGGACTTCGGGTGATGAAGATGCCGCGTCCCTGACAGCCGCTGTCCGGCTTGCAGATGTAAGTGCGGGTTTTTCGCTGACGACCGTAGGATTGGAAGTCCCCGTAGCTGTGTGCAGAGGGGGGCTGGTCAGAAGGTTTCTGCGCGTGGCAGCTGTCCCAGGGCCCCGGTGGGGTTCTGCTCTCCTGTCCGTGCTCTTCCTGGAGCGTCAGTCTCCCACCTACTTTTCTGTGACCAGCTGAAACCTTCTAGGTGACAAGGCCAGCGTCTGGAGGGAAGTGAGATGGCGAAACCTTTCCTCCCCCAGCACATGAGCCCCGGGGGCCGGGCTCACTCACTCTGCAGGGAGGCACCAGGTGCGGGGGAAGATGTTGTACTCCGTGGGATAGAGTTTCTGCATGCGGTTGAGGTTCCGAGCCAGCAGATCTTTGCGGCAGATTTCCGTCATGCCAGGGAAGTGGTTGATTTTCTGTAACAGAGCCAGGTGGTGACCTACCCCCATGAGCAGAGTGAATGGCAGCCCCTGGGGTCTGGGGCACACCAGGAGGACTGGGAAGGTCAAGGCAGAAGTCACAGAGGAGGAAAACACTATACCTAATACCCTAAGGGAGAAAAGGAAGGTTCCCTAAGGCAGGTGAGAACCTCCTCCTTGGCCTCTCCCAAAACACATGTCCACACTGAGGTCGGGAGACGAGGGGCAGTGAGAAGGACTCGCCAGGACTTCGGGTCTTCTAGCCACCTTCTAACATGCCCCAGGCCACCAGCAACTAGTCCTGTAAGGATAACTGGGGCATGGGAGCATAAGCCAA